TGCATCTGTGTCGGTCAATTCTCCAAAACGAAACTTGCGTCGTTTTTGTAGAATCGCTCAAGCCTCAAGCCAGGGAAGAACAAAAGAACCAAAGAAGGAAAAAAAAAAAACGAGTGGTACCACACGCCAGTGCACACATGTGTGCATCGAGCCCAAGAAAATGGTTTATTTTCGTGTCAGAGAGACAGGCTTGAGCCCGTGTGGGGAAAGATTTATTTTTAAATCACGATGTGGGTGTAGGTACGATACGGTAGGTTGGTTGCACTCTGCCTTTGGGTACTAAAACAATCATTTATATGCAGCAGGATACCCCTCGATTTGAGACACAGATGGCCAATAAGTGACAATGAATTTTAGGTGAAAATAATAACTAAATAATCAGGTGAGTATAAGAATGAAATCTTAACTCTTTTTTTTTTCAAAAGTAAGCCACCCTAATAGAGAAGAATTATTCTTTTGCAACAATATTTTGAAAATCCCGAACACAAAGCATAATGATAGAAATAATTGTGAGACGTACAATAGAGTTGCTAGACAAATTACCTATCCAGAAGAAAAATAGAATGTACCTAGCAATTGGGATCAACTACATTGATATGAGTATGGGACCCTTCAAAATCTTTTAACTTGATTTTTCATGGTTCTCAGATGAAGTCTTGAAGCTTCAGAGTGTCTTGTAATCAGTGTTTTCAGTTTTGAGTTGGTATTATTTCGAAGATTCCTGAATACTTTCTTCAGGTACAAGCTTCTTAGTATTAGTGAAGCTATTATAGTACTTTAATTTGTATTTTATTAGTGTAACCAGCTTTGTCAATAAAATCTTGTAACTCTTGTACAATAAAGCATTTTTGAATTTGATTGATGGTACCAAAGCAATCCTATCACGTAGTCTCGGTTTCAATTAGCCAGTGAAACGTATGCGCTACCACGGAAACCGGTCTTACACGCGGTTAGCACCAAGGACGAGGATGGGTGCACTCCGCATGGTACCACTACTCTGCCTGCCACCCCGCCCACACAACGATGGTACTCTCTGTTGGTTATCTTCTTCTTGTATCCACTTATGTGGGTGGAACATATAAAAATTGTATTATGAATGTGACATAAAAATAGTATGTTTATTTAACATCAGGAAAAAAAAAACCGCCAAAAATCAAGCATGTATATTTCATAGTAAAAACGGTAAGGTACTATTATTAGAATGACGAACGATAAGGCCGGAGATAAGTAAAAGTCAAGGATTGAATTAATTTAATGACGATAGTAACCTTGATCGAGTCTTTTCAGGTCCAATCATGTTGTCGAGAACACAATAACAAAAAAATGGCGGGCATTTAATCATAAATATTAAAATCCCGCTCGATTATAGCAGTTGTAGATTCGATGCGTAAATTTCAAAGTTTATCACTTCCCAGAATTAGCGGCCAACCAACTCGTTTATCTTGGAATTAATTTATTTGTGATGACAAGTCGGATTTCGGATAAATTGATTTTTGTCGGCATCCGCCAAATGGAACACATTCGCACTCAGAAAACCACATGGCTTTGGGTGCCACTTTCGAACCTCTCGAACTTCTAATAGCCCATCTAAACTTAAGGTACTTGAAACTTTGAAAAAACTTATAGGGGCTCTGGATAATAATGTACCCTTTTTAGAGAGCCACCCGGATAATTTGATAGTTTTGGTTTAGATGCGGTGAGACCGTTTTTATTTTTTGATAAGTAATAAGTGGCAGTTAGAGCAGAGACGGATTATGTTTGAGACACCTTGTATAAATAAATGCAACTATTTGACATTCAACTAAAGTACCATTCACTTTGCACAACTGTTAGGCGACCTACTTTCTAATAACATTTACAAAGCAATAGAAAAAGTTAAAATAAAATACATACATTCATGCTTGCGAGATAACTGTCAACAATGGTATACTTGTTTCGTCCCTTCAAGTGCAAAATTGGGGTGATGAAGAAACGGGGACCAAGAAAAGTGCAACATAAAAGGTCTATTCTTTTGTGTGGGCAACTTAAAAACTGCGCCTTTGTTGATGAATAAGAATTGCTAAAAGGGTACCTCAACACGTGTATTTCTGCAACTAAAAAGTAAATGATTTTTAACACCACAAACTTTTTCAATAGTTCCTAGTTCGTCCCTGATGAAACTTGACACAGGAACTACATCAATATAGGCACCACTATCAATTCCTACTCGATTTTACGCTTTGGTGGTCTCTGCTTTAACGAACTATTATTGTTCAGGAAGGGCTAGACTGTGATAATTTGAATAGGAGGAGGATGCACTCTGTAAGTTCAATAGCCTTATATGATAGTGTTTTCTAAGTCCCAGGTCATAATAATTTCGAAGCCTTCAAATTAATGAAACCTTATTTTACTTGAATAGATTTTCCAAGTCCCACGTCAGAGTAATTTCGAAGGCACAAATTTATGGACTCGGGTAAGATTTAATGACCCTGGGCCACTTTCGTGTTTTGTGGTAGATTCTACACCATAGTATTATTTATTACGGGGGCACTAAATTATGTCTAGTAGAACAAAACTAGTTTTTCTCATAGGGCATTCTTCAATAATTGGGGTGTTTAACGCGAGAATGCGAGACGGCTAGTTTTCTTCAGATGCTTATCGCCATCAGGCGGGCATAACTAAAAAAAAAAATACTTTCTGAGATTTGTTGTTGGAAAAATTTCTTTTGTTTAACCGCCCTGGGAATTCTTAGTTTAATTATGTGAAATTCTTTGCTGTGATTTTAGAATGTATAGTCACCAACCAGTGGCAGGACAATCCCTAGAGAAAATCTACACATACATTGATGCTAATTTTTATTTCAATGTAAGTCTAAAAGAAAAATGGCAACTGCATACAAGAGTTTCTAAAAGTCCTCTGTGGTATTTTTATACTTTGTTGGTATTTCTGGATAGTTATGTCTGCGAGTTTTGTTTTGTCTCATCAAAAATATATGTAGTTTTAACTAAAAATCATACTTCTCGAGAAAATTCTAGGTTTGATAACGGTTACTTTGAAATAAGTTATCCATCGCTATAAAGCGAATCAACAAAAGAGCAACTCAGCACTGATCTTTGGGAGTTAAAAACTCTAAACCTGGAACTTAAAACCACTTCCTGAGGGCAATTAAAGAAGTGAGATTTCTTCAAAATTTCAGTCGAAATGCTATTTATTAGGTAAACCTTGAAAATCGGAAATTTCTTTTGAGAGTTGTTTCAATATAGGCCTGCTGTTATTCGCTTGAAGCGAGATTTTTAAAACATTAATAAGCCTCTATAGTCTATAATGAGCCTATTATTTAAATAATTAGTTTTTCACATACGCTTCTAAGTTATGATACACGGATTTACACTAATTATATAAATATGTTGGTAGATTTTAACGAATTTATCGATTCCTCACCAGCTGTTCAAGGGCGAATGACCTAGACATGTTGCCAAAATAACCATTAAAAGTGTGCCTAGGCAAGGGCTGTCGGCGTCCCTTTTTGATTCAAACTGGGGTGGATGCGACACACGTGAAAATAAAATGTGGGAGACAGGGGTGCTTTATAGGAAACAAACATGTGACTAGTATCTCTAACAAACAGGGGGGTGGATTTTAACGGTTTTTCCTATATAAGGGGTGGAGAGTATTGATTTTTTTCCGCGGAGCGACAGCTGATAAATAAGCAAAGTTCAGTTATAATTTTAATGGTGAACGACCCGCGCTGTCCTTTCTTAGGTCATCGGTTCTCTTCTGCTTCTTCAGGTTCGCTTCGTCTTTTTCTTCAACTAGGTAGTACTAGGTAGGCCTGTTTTTGTTTGCTCGAACTGGCTATACGGTCACGAGGTCTTTTACCTTGTCTTGTCTATTCCTCTATTCTTCAGTTTTATGTTGGCCCTCGAGCAAATGCCTTATATGGAAACTTGACAAAAGAAGATCAAATATTGTCAGGATAGGAGAAAGCATAATTTGATGACTGAATTTAACAAAAGAATAATATACCAAGTACCATGGAAATTATTTGAAATAATACAAAATTCAAAATCGGTTCCCGATTCACCCCTAATGAAGTTCAAAAGGGCAAATATTGCAGCCAAATTATGGCTTGCACACATCTGCCAACCTCTTCAGGGATATTTTTGGAATAAAGGCAGCTATAAGAAACTTTTTATCTATATTCAAAACCCCGCCGCCCCTTCTTAGTGGTTACTCGAAACAAGGCAAAAATAGAATTATTTTTACTAAGTGCACTCGATATTATCTCTGGCGACTGAAAAAGTAGGTCTTATGATAAATATGACCTAGTTTAAATGACAAAATAAATTTAAACGTCTATTCATATACATAGTTAATTATTGGGTTGATAACTTGTTAAAAAAAAAACAGGAAAAATTAAAAATTGAATTGTTCATGGTGGAAATATAGACTTGTGGTGAATTTTGAAGTTGCAAGACAAGATTTTTTTTTTAAAAATCAGTTTTTCTGATGTTCAAATCAATCATTCATTTCCATTGACTGTCAAAAGTATCTAGACTTTGGTCAAATTTGGATGGATCTCAAACAAAGTTGAACAGCCAGTATACATTGTTTGAATCAACAAAATTAATTTTTTAATAGGTAGTCAATTTTTGTTATATAGCTGTTTAAATTATTTCAACATTTCTATAGACTTTTTTTACTGTTCAATTCAACTAGCAAAAACATAACATATTACATACTTCTTTAACCTTGGCATTTTTTTTTTTTTCAACAATTATATTCCTCCTGATATTATATGCACATGGATACAAAAGCATCACCAGCCAAAATAAAAATTTTGTTTGCACAAGACCCACTAATTGCTTATTTTAACATCTTTTTTTATTTTTAGCACAGAATGTTTATAAAACAAAATATCTCTGGCTGCACACAAGTGCACTTGGCTCCCATTTTATCAGCGAATTTTTAACTTTTATTTTACAGTACAGGGTCAATATGTGATTCGAAAATAATCTCACCTGTTATCCTGCTTTGCTGAATTCGGTGCTCCTGTGACACTGACTTAATGGGTCTCGGCCTTACGATGTCGGCCTCGTGGAGTTCAGGTAAATCGCAGTATTGATTGCTGATATCGATTTCGCCGTCCATTTTTCTTTTCGTGGGTGTTTTTGGTGGTTGTTTGGGCGGAGTCGCCAGTCGCCAGGCGAATTGGCCTTCTGGTAAAGGATGTTCCAGGCGAAAATTGAAGTTGTATTTGTTTGATTGGTCGATCAGGAGCTTTTTTCTTTCGTCGTCTATAAACTTTTGTGTGGCTGAACGGTCCACTGGACCGAACAGTATTCTTTTGACTTTTCTGACCTGAGGAGGAAAAAAAAGAATTTGTATATATTTTGAGAGACAGAAGTTGGAAGATTTTGGTCTTGATTGAATCAATGAACAACCTAAAGCTGAAGGATGTTGAGTTTTGTCACCTTTAAAAGGAGTTTATTGTAAAATTTTTTGCCTTCATATATAATAGAGTCACAATGAGATGTGGAGTTCCCCAAGGAAGCATTTTGGGACCCTTACTATTCAACCTGTATACTAGTGACCTCCCAAATCAAGTAGAATTTTGTGTTATGCATCTTTATGCAGATGATGCACAACTCCTAGTAGGTTTTGCCCCGGAAGAGGCTTGTGTTGCTCTGAATAGGGTTAATGCTGACCTAAATTCAGTTTATATATGGTCTAGTAGTGTTTGATGCGAATAAAAGTAACTATCTCATTATAGGGTCAGATATCACTAGAAGTCGTTTCTACAGTCATAACTTTGTTACATTACATGTTAATATCTCCTTGTTGCTTTGTATAGAATCTGTCAGAAATAGGTGTTATGTTTGATAAGCAACTTGATTTCCAGGCGCATGTAGGAATGAAATTATCTGCTATTTATATTAAATTTAAAAGCTTGTATGCCTTCAAGTATCTGGTACCTGCCAAAATTAAGTAGAAACCCTCATCTATCCTCAATTAGATTATTGTCGTGTTGTGTATTACATTTATTGTATCAACAAATTCCTTGACAAATTCAATCATATTACACCTACATATATTGCTAATGATATACTAAAATACAAAAACCGAGTTAATATATTTCTAGGGATACATGTGTAGAAAATTTTGAAAAGTCAATGCCCAGTGTATTTGTGGCGTTATATAGAGGCCAGACAAGATTTGCACAATCTGAATCTCAGGAATATAGTTAGATATGATATACCCTAGCACTGTACTACTAAATTCAGAAATTGAATGCTCTTTCGAGCTACAGCATTGCGAAACTCTGAAATGTACAATTTATTAATAGGAAATTCTCTATATACTTTTAGAAATAAATATAAATCTTATCTCAAATGTAATAAATAAGTAGTCTATTGTTGTGATAATTGTACCATATTTTATAGAAGAACGCCTTGCGAATGCTACCTTTTGTGTAATCCGTGCTATATTACATAATACCTAAACATTGTTCTATTCTATTCTATTCTAAAACAAATAGTCGTATGTCAGCCAAAAATCCACATTCTAGGCGAAAACTGGATGAATGTAAAGACAGATAGGAATTGAATTAGTCAAAAATTGGTTAGATGTTTTCACACTATTATTGAATGTTCGTAAAACGAATTATATTGCCTTCTCCAAGACAATAGTTTACCGACCAACATTTAATAAATTGTCTTTCCATAATCTGAATGCTGACATAAAGGAAGTAAACTCAACAAAATATTTAGGCATAAAAGTGGATCAACATCTTAGATGGGAACCTCATGTTTCTTGTGTTACAAAAAAAAAAAAAAAACTAAAATTCTTGATTTTTAAATGTTATCAAATACGGCAGTTCCTTAACATAAACCTCGACATAAACTATAAACCTATTTATTACATTGTACCTCGCATTGTACCGTACCTACTTTAGTTTTTGAATCAATTCTGAGGTGTGGTTTGTTGGCCTAGGGTGGTCTGTATGCAAGTACTTTACACCCACTGAATGTCGTTCAGAATAAAAATGTATATAATATTAACTGAATAATCATGATGTACTTAAAAATCCTATAAGCCACCAATATAATACTGGAAGTTCCTTAAATTAGAATACAAAAGCCACATAGCAAATTTTTGCCGAACAATATTATTCATTTCATTATTTAGTTTATATGTAGATATTGTTTATAAAATTTTCAACTTTATGATAATAATTGTTGCCTTTTCTTTTGACACACACAGATGTATAATCTACATCTGAGTCTACATCTATGTGTCATAACCTTATCTTCAACAAGTCTAATATTCTGAGTATCATAACCTCGATCACAACATACTGCATTTTTTTATTGCTCTGATTGTATGTTAGACGTAACTAGATATAGGCTAGATGAATATTGCTTATTATATCTCTCGTTGTATCTATATCATATATGTTGTACTTGGAGTTTGTTGTTAATTGAAATCAATAACTCCTAAACCATTCCAAAACCTTCCCTATGGTACCGATTTTCTCTAGTTTCTGAAGCAACTTCTCTTCATCTATAGTCTCAAATGCCCTCTGTAAATCTAGGAAAACCGCTATGGTGCATTTATCATTATCATAGGCATAGGCATTTTCCAGTCATTCAAACCGTATTGCATTGATGTTTCACAACTATATCCCTTTGGAAACCCTGATTGGAGTTTAGCTATTATATTACACTGCTCAATGAATTCTAAAAATTGTCCGTATGTGGATATGAGAGATCTATGGAATCCAAGAATAATTGTGGTGGATATATGTGAATATTTGGGGATGATATGTGGAGATCTGATGGAGTCTCAGATGGAGTTATGTGTTTTTAAATTCATGTTCAGAAGTTGTTTCTTCAAGGGGGTTGAATGATACTGAGTTACAGTTCGATACATCAGTCCTTTGGCAGTAATATGTAATCTATTTTCTGCCATGGTACAGTTGTGAGCACAAAAAGTGGGACACCCGTTTTTTCCTATTGTAAAACGGGCTCACCAGCTTTACTTACGGCAATGACAGGAGTTGTCATATTTGACAAAAAATCCATTGTAGAGAAAAGACTGATTTACCAAAAATAGCGAAAAATGACAAGACCTGTCAGTTGGGTGTCCTACTTTTTGTGCTCACGACTGTACATAATCTATTCTTTCCCAAGATAGATTTTAACATTGTCAACTTTGAAACATAAACAATGCCTCTTATTGGTTGCAAGATGCCATTTGCACAACATACGTAAAACTGATGCCAACCTGCACGGACAACTCATTTTGCGACCAATCAGGGCCAAGCGGTATTGTTCATGTTTCAAAGTTTTCCATGTCAAAATCAATCTTGGGAAAAAATAAGAAATACACCTGGTATTATTAGTATTAGGTACATACCATTCATATTCATAATAGTGATTTATTTTAAATTATCCTCGAAATTATCAATATCAAATTCTATATAAAATTGAAAAGTTACTAGAAGGAAAATAGGTACACTGAGATCCATTAAAAATTGGAAGTGATTACCCCCTTGACTTAAGTCTCTCTTTGCAGGGACACCTATGGCCGTTTGCACAGACCATTTTAAGGAAGCATTAGCGATAAGTATTTCTTAAAATGACATTTCTACATGGATAAATGTCACTTTAAGGAATACTTATCGCTAAGGCTTCCTCAAAATGGTCGGTGCAAACGGCCACTACATACCTAATTAGGGTTAATTCACAAAATTACCAAGAAGAATTTAAAATAATACAATACCATGTAATGTATGCAATTAAAATATAAAATCTAGGTCTTTGAGAACATTGAAAAATGATTTTGAAGTAAAATTGAAACTTTAAAGTTCTTGTTACACATAATCAGGAGGTATAAAAACAACCCTTTATTAGTTAAAGTACCAAAATTGTAATTTAAAGGGCAGTAGAATCAAAACAAATCCTAGTCAAACTTCAAAGTAGAAATTCACTAATGAAACGACTTTGTCAATAGTTGAAACTTTGCATACTCATAAATTATTATTCGATAAATCAATTTACGTACCTCTGGTTTGTTAAACATCCTCAAATCCTGATTTGTGGTCGATAATAAAAGCCTCGTCGAACCGTAAACACTGGGACTCATCTTCATGTAGTTTTGTTTGGCAAAACGTAGGCAACCAACAAAGCAACAAGCCACGCGCCAAGTTTGTACAATAATTTTTAAACACTAATAAGGTTTTGGAAAAACACCGATTTTCACAGTGGCACTGGTCGAAACTGACGGAAAAATGTCCTCGACGGTAACTGCAACAAACGTAATCACTGTCACTTACTATAGACGTAACGAAAATACGAATTTTCCGAGAAAATTGAAGCGCGCGTAAATTACGTAGTCTTTCTAGCAAGGTTATGACGCGACTGACGCGACGCGGCGACGCGCTGCTCAGTGTTGTCACCACAGCGGAAGGGTAGGGACGCGGTCGAATGCGTCAGCAACAAAATACTACGCTACACCGTTGCCAAGTTTTATTTTAGTTTAATATCGAATTAAAAACATTGATAATTTGTACTTTATTGTCTTCAACACTTGACACAGAAATGATTTATTAGCCTACGGGCCAGTTTCTCGATAGCGAGTCACCTTCGGGTTGGTTTGTTTTAACCTTAGGGTAAGCGTGTCCAGTTGCTATGTTTACCCTGGAGTTAATGCATAACCCGGGGGTGACTCGCTATTGAGAAACCAGCCCTAGGGCTGTTTTCTACGACTGCTCTAGAAAGCAATTAAAATCCCACTAATTACTTACCTAAAAAATCAATTATTTGGAGCAGCGTGCAAAAAGTACCTTTTCCTACGAGCGTGCGGAAAAGTTACTTTTCCGCACGATTTTTCGTTTTGAAAGTTGTACTTTTCCGCACGATTCTACTTTTCCGCACGATTTTACTTTTCCGCACTATTTTTTTACTTTTCCGCACGATTTTTACTTTTACTGAAAAGTGTACCCATCCATATTAAAGTTCGGGGGCAGTCTCGCAGGGGCCCCATTTTTGAGGGGCACAGTCCCGCAATGGCCCCTTTTTGGGGGCGGAGCCCTGGGTGGCCCTTTTGGTGGCGGAGCCCCTCATTTGGGGGGCGGAGCCCTGGGCCCCTTTTGGAGAGCGAAGCCCCGCGGGAGCCCCTCATCTGGGGGCACAGCCCCGCAGGGCCCCCTATTTTAGGTGGAATAGCCCCGCGAGGGTGGGGGATCCTAACAATTTTTTTGGCCAATTTAGATTATAGGCCCAAGGATCATGATAAAAAAATCCGGTTCCATTATTTTTTTGTGTATAAAAAAATCGTGCGGAAAAGTCACTTTTCCCCACTAGTGCTGAAAAGTTACTTTTCTGCACGATTTTTTTATTTCTTAAAATGAAGATATTTAGGATCAAATAAATGATTTGTTATATATTATTTTATATTATGTGCTCTTTTGTACCATCATTATAAAATCTTTGCGTATTGGAAACATTTTTTTTTGATGCAACTGCCGTCTCGTGCGGAAAAGTACCACTTTCCGCACTTGTTAGGTAAATAACTATTAATAGACTAGGGCGTAAAGTTGTAATGTATTTGTATTTTTACCATTGAAAATGTTCCTGTTATCCTAAACCGAATTTTCGCGACGAACTACTTCCATGATTTCATGAACACAAACGCTTTCGCGAGAAACTCATGACGTCATATTGAACGCGTAGTTCGACGGAAGCATGGATGCAGCTTCTAGCCAGCGATCAAACTCATGACGTCAAAGATGAACTATGGTTCGTCCTTGGATGAACTACATTCGTCGCGAAAATTCGGTTCTAGTATGGGGGCAAAATGCAGAAAAAGTGCATGCTACATTTGCCACTTGGATCTAAACCACATACATTTTGCATTTTATTTCACATTCAATGTCCCGCCGGTTGCATCTTTGCGAAGGACTGTCAAATGTTGATTTTTTAATTTTTTCGTTTTTTTTCTCGCTAGTGTGAATCCTATTGAGTTGCGTTTTTTCTCATCGACTTTTTCTGATGGATCCACCATTTTATGTATATCGGTCATTCTCAGTTTCTATCTACGAAACAAAAAAAAAGATACCTACTAACCTACTTGATAGCTTACTCATATCGGTGGATTCTGGATTTTCAAATTAAAATTGATGGGAATGAAAACGCACGGATGTTTGCTTCTTTCGCGGAGACGATCTCAAACGGATTCTGAACGCTAAGGCATGATCTACACAGGTTTACTAATCATCTATATATATAAAACACAGTTGTGTTGGTATTTGAGCACTTATAACTCGAGAACGGCTGGACTGATTTTTATGATTTTTGCTTTATTGGATTTGTCTTTGTCCATCCTAGGATAATAAATCGAAAAAATCAAAAAAAAGAACAAAAATTTTTTTTATCTATTTTACTTATTTATGAAAAAAACTCACTAAGCCCGCATACTCTCTTATAACCGATACCAAGTTTACCGTCACATTTTCATTGCAAACCATGTGGATTTTATTGTCACACACTTTGCACAAAAACAATTTGAGGAAAGCACTTTATTTTTAATTGTTCTTCACAGTAAAAATGTCCAAAAATAAATAGAATGACAATGTTTGATGACTATTTTATTTTGTTGTTGGTTCGTTCATTCCGAAAGAGCGCGAACTGGTCTCCCTGTCATTTCTTGACGCTTGACCATTGACGTTCTGTGGCTAAGTTCCGTTTCTCCTCTTAGGCATCCCTTGACAGCCGTGTTCCGTGCCGACTGTTCGGAGTGCTCCGTCCGGCTGGTGTCGAGTGGCAGAGAGCCAGGTTATGAGTCCGCCACAACCATTTTGTATACGGCGCCATATATGATAGGAACCTAGAACGAAACTCGCCGTTGCGCGGTAATTTCATTGCAGATACAGTAGAACAGAGCTAAGGAACTGGAGCTATTCTGAACAGAACTATTCCACTATTCCGATCAGATAAAGTGGTACAGAAAGAGTAGATCAGATAGAATAGTGCAGATACAGTAGAACAGATGGAGTATTGCAGTGCATGCAGTGCAGATAAAATGAAACAGGGCTGCGCTGGAGACTTTTTTTGTTTTCTTTACATTTTTTGAAGATTCCTGTGCCTGAGTTTATTTATTTGGTGGTACACTTTATAAGAATAATGCCCACAAGATGCCTAAAAAGGGATGATGTAAAATTTTAATTTTAGGTGACTTCTGATCCAGAGAGTAAAAATTAATTTTCTTCGACCAAAGCCAAATTCACCATCGAAAAAAACTGAATTTAATTCAGTTAATAGATAAGTTAACACAACATTTAATAGGTATTTAATAATTCAGAGGAGGTACGAAGTTCGCCGGGTCAGCTAGTAGAGATATAAAACTTTTAAAAAATACCTGGTGTAGATCATGCCTTAACGTTTTTACATTTCCAGGACTAAGGGAGGATTTTCATGCATCCGTTTTTCCGTCGAAATATGTCCGAAAAGTCTTCTATTTTGACATATTTATATACGATTATGTCAGAATAGAATGTTAAACGGACATATTTCGTCGGAAAAACGGATGCATGAAAATCCTCCCTTAAGCCTAGTACTCATAACTGCGAAATTCGCATTTTTTTGACATTGCGTTGACAATTTGACGTTTTATGCGTGTATCAATGTAAAAAAAATGCGAATTTCGCAGTTATGAGTACTAGGCTTAAAGGGCGTTTGAAATTTCAAGTAATTTTAGAAGTAATAATCTTTAGTAATTTGTCGAAATAATTTTCTAGTATCCGCAGTAGCGTAACTTGACATCAAGGGGCCTCGGTGCAATATTAGATTACAGTGGCTGATTAGATGAACCCCCCTCTCCATGTTTGGGTGCCACGACCAAAAACGTTAATTTCAAACCTTTAAAATAGCTATTTGGCAACAAGTGTGTAAAGTGAACCTTTACACGAATGTGAATTTTGACAATCATATGACTGAAAAAAGGTGCTTTACACACATATTGCCCACCACTTTACGCACTAGTGCTTGAAGAAGTTTACTAGAAAAAAACTAAATTGGCAATGTCGACATCTATCATTGACATTTACTTCACGCACTAGTGTGTAAAGCGAATTGTACTTTACGCACTAGCGCATGAAGTGAAATTTTACGTCTTTTGAATAGTGCGTAAACCGTTAAGTGGGTCCTTTATAGGTACGCATGGTAAATAATTTATTTTGAAATTGTTTACTTTGGTGTTTACTTATCTATTACCACTTTGTTTCTCTATTCAAGAAGGCATGGGCTTTCCGCTCCCCTCACTCCATCTTGAGAATGGGATTGCCCAGAAGAATACACAATCAATAAAATGCAAGATATTTTGGGGCCCCCACAGACAAGGTCGACAACACTAGGTTGTTAGCGGAAAACGTTTTATTAAAAACTTGTATTTACTACAATTTCCAGACATTAAAAAAAAAATCAAATTACGAATTTAATAAAATAGGTACAGTCATGAGCACAAAAAGTGGGACACCCGACTGACAGGTCTTGTCATTTTTCGCTATTTTGCGTAAATCAGTCTTTTCTCTACAATCGATTTTTTGTCAAATATGACAATCCCTGTCATTGCCGCTGGTGAGCCCATTTTACAATAGGAGAAAACGGGTGTCCCACTTTTTGTGCTCACGACTGTACTCATAACAAATGCGGCGGCCCCTCAAGTCTCTGGGGTCTCGGTGATTTGCACCGAACTGCCCTATGATAGTTACGCCAGTGAGTATCCGCCTAAGTTCGGGAATAGGGCCAGGAATAGGGCGATTTGACGTATGACCACGTCGCCATCTTGAATTAGCAGCAATCGAATTGCCCAATTAGTTCTAAGAGCATAATTTGCACTGATTTTTTTGTTTGAACACAAAATAGAGCCTGTTTTTTTTTTAAAGATAAAAGTCAAAATGACATTATGTTGGCAATACCAATGAACTATAGCTAAAAACTGGAATGCGCAAACATTGCCATATCTGCCAAAAAAATGAAGCCATGAAAGACAGATGCCACAAGGGGGAATGTTGTTTTTTTCTGTTGCTCGCTGACATATGACGTTTTCGAAAGTTTTGTCATATTTCCTTTCATAGGTTTCATCAATTGGAATACGTGTTGGAAGCAATTTTCGCCATTTAACATAATGAGTGCGACAAAAACAGGTATTCCCTCCGCAGCAGCCGCACTATGCTTCAAGTTCGTCCTTATGTATGTTAGCATTCCAGTTTTTGGTTATAGTTCATTGGGCAATAATACAATGTAAAATTGTCAATGCTTTCAATTTTTTTATGTAGAAAAGGCTTGTGCTGCCAACATAGTTACTAAATTTTTGACTTGGGGAATAGACCTATCTATTTTTACCTGGTATGCGCGCGCAACACGAGGCAATGTCTTTTTATTGGCTAGTTAATG